TGATGCAGACGTAGACACGCCTCTACCAAACCTGACGATGGGCTGAAAAGTGTGGCCACTTCAAAGCCATCATGTCGTCCATTTCATGCTGGTCTCCGCAGAATTGATGCCGCCTGAAGTGGAGCAATTCACTCGTCTGTGCCTAAGTGTGTCCTTGTATTCGCCAGGCAGCCACACTCACATGCCCATTCACAATGAACGGATAATCAAAGGCTAATTAGGCCAACTCCGTCCACTGGTTTCGCTCTCCTTCAGACTGAACAGTCGGTCCGAGCCCGTTGAGGCCTCTCCGGCAGGCTTGGCGGGAGTCGAGCTCGGGTTGCTGTGGTTATTATCGGCCCAAGTGCACACTCTCGAAGGGGGCCAACACAGTCCGCGACACGTCGACGCCGTAGAGGATCTGAGGCCGGACTGAAAGATGACTTTTTTCGCAAAATACTGAATATTGCTTCGAAACACGGATTGCTAATAGGATATGCGAAGAAAAGTTAGGTTTCGAGGAATCTCTTGTTTCACAATTGCTGAGCTGACTTCCATTTCGAGGGAAAGTGTTGCGTGAAGAGATTCGAAGGTCGATCCTACCAGAAGACGACAGCGGATTCCTCTTGACCAACTGTCGATTGGCTTCACTGGAACATTCTCGATGACGAACATCATCAGAGCAAAGTATCATCATCACAACCCAATTCAAGCTAACAACGGACGAAAGCTTAGCAACTTTTCACCGGACTCGAAGGAGATTGCCCCGGAAACAGCGTCGCCGTGAATGTTCCACTAAAGCCAATCGACAGCTGGTCAGGAGGAATCCGTCGTCGTCTTCTGGTGCAATCAACCTTTGAATCTCTTTATTTAATTAATAATGGTAATAAGTTGATAATTAAGTTGTCTATATGAAGAGAAGCTGGATTTCTAAGAATCCCTTAATAGAGTGATACTGGTGTACCTTTCATTTCGAAGGGGTTCGTAGATTGGCCTCACCGGATACCGCAGGAGGGTTGCCTTGGAGTTTTGTCTGTTAAATTGTGCGAAGAGAACCCGACTCACAGTCTTATGAGCCCGATGACTCCCTGCTTAGCTTTCGTCCGTCCTGTGACGGACATCGTCAGAGCCAGAAAGCAGTATTCACGAAAAATCACCAAAAACCATTAATCCGAGAAAGATGGCCAGCTGAGATCCTACTTACTTGCTGTACCTCACTTTGCGATCTTAATGAGGCATTGCATGAGTTGGTTGGCTGACG